GCTGCCCTTCTCATTTCACTCCGACACAATCTCCCATGGCATCAATCCTGTAAATATATGAGTCTTAATATGTGTGTCCTATTCTGTATTCAGAGGAAGAGCCAAGTCAGCAGCCCCAGTATTAATGCATGAGAAATGAGCAGAGCCCATAAGAATTAAAGGGTAAGACTTGGCTTATTAAGATGTAAATTTTTGGGGGAAAGTTGCCTGAAATGAGAATACAGTGAAGTTACTGTCAACTTTAGCCTACTTGTGCATTTCTAAGAGGCATTATTGTGTTATAGTTGATGAAATTAGATGCATACAACAAAGCACCTTGTGTATTTTTTAGCTCCCTTTCAGTTCCAGATCAACCATCCTCAACAAATGTGCAACCTATGCCTTATGCAACAATTCACAGTTTTGGCAACATTATCCTGTGACAGTTTACATCAACTATTGTGGTAATGCACTCTGTGTGTACATGTGTGTGCTTCGTTTTTTTTTCTATCTCTCTCCGCCTCAACCTCACTCTCGTTTCAAATTTGCACTTAACACCTTCCTAGGGAAAGGCTTCTCATTCATCAACAGTGTTTGTCCCAGTGACAAGTGGGGTGCCTCCTGCATATCAATATCAGCTAAGACAATGCTGAGCATGTAACCTTCAGCTAAATGTCATTCTGCTTAATCCTATTTGAAAATTAAACATTGAAAAACCTTTACCGTACCTTCCTGTCTTCCTTCCTCGCCTGCTCCCTCCTTTTATTGGCTGCCATTCTTCAAGCCCTCTGCTCTCCCTCACTCGGTTCCTGCTCTTGTTTTTGCACACTGTGTGACATTTGTATTGTTCAGTTTGTGCAAGTGTTTGAATATTGAATCAGTTTAATTCTATGTCACTCAAAAATAATATTGAAATAACTCGCCGTCGTGTACTGTGACTTCTATCTTTGTTTTATGTCTTTTTTTTATTTTTATTCAGACTTCATATTTCTGGAGAACATAAGGAAAGATGAACACAAATATCAGCTAGTGAAACAAACACCCATGACCTATGTTATGTATGGAGGGAGAAGGCACGTTTACATAAAAATAAATATTTCTCGACAAAGGATTATCACGACTGAAAGTAGCTGTGAAATAGAGAAAGATGATGTCCGATTGGCACACAATTTGACAGAGAGGCTCGAACTTCTGCAGAGAATGCATGTTAGCGTGCATTACATGTGTGTAATAGTCTTTACATTTTTTTTCCCTTTTAAATGCACACTATACAACTCAGACAAAGAAACGCAATGCTTGAAAATGTCCCTACAGTGAGAAACAGGAACGGTGGGAGGATAAAAGCAGAAAAGAGATTGCAGTGGAAATGCAATTTTTTGCAGTCAAACAGACATAATTGTTTTTTTGGAAGCAGTGTAATGCTGCAACTCAAAGACAACCTTCAGGTCTTTGCATGGATTTGATTGACCACTGCAATCACTCGTCAAAGGATTCAATTGATATACTGCAGGTAAATTACAGCGGGACTGCTGTTGACGTATTTGTATTGAAGCCCTCCATCTAGTTTGATCTGTTAAGATTAAAAAATGTGGGGGGAGACCGACTGGAGAAGTGATTCAACATGGATGGAGAAGAAACAGATTCTTAGTCATTTCCTCTGTAACACTTGGAAATCTTAACATAAACTGTTCTGTTGTTGCTGTGTGATAACTTTGCCATGGTAAAATCAGAAACAGAAGGAAAATAATTATACAAAAAGCCAGGCATATACCGGTACTTGTACTTGTTGTAATATTTTCTGAAATGTCCTCTGTGGTTAGATTTTTATTTATTGATTTATTTATTTGTTTATTTTACGTGTGGAAAGTTGGAACAGTGTACGTTTCAAATTACATTAGTGCAAATGTGTATATTTGATGTAAGACAAAACTTTTGTTATTCACAAAGTTTTAAAACAGAGAATTAAAAATTGTGTGTAAACTTGAAAATGAAGGGAGCACGGTGGCACAGTTGGTAGAGCTGCTGCCTCTCAGTGAGTAGGTCACCCTGGTTCAAATCCCGGTCAAGGGGGTCTTCTGGGTGGAGTTTGCATGTTCTCTCCGTGCATGCATGGGTTTTCTACGGGTACTCCGGTTTTCTCCCACAAACCAAAAACATGCATGTTAGACTGATTGGTAACTCTAAATTGTCCCTAGGTGTGAGTGAGAGAGTGAATGGTTGTTTGTCTCATTTATCTCTATGTGTCCCTGTGATGGACTGGAGACCTGTCCAGGGTGTACCCCACCTCTCGCACAGTGACTGCTGGATATGGGCACCAGTGACCCTCACAACCCAAAAAAGAAATGGGTAAAGATAATGGGTGGATGGATTGAACTTTAAAAAAGAAGTCTGACTTGTGGATGGTTGTACAGTGTGTCAGTTTTTTTTTTTTCCCTGTAAACATGAGCCAACCAAATACATGAGTGAGTGACTTAGGTGTGGTGACGATGGAGTGCCTTGACTCTGCGAAGCTTTTGAGCGGCACAATGGATTTGTGGTAAGTAATGCTGCCTCACAGCAAGAAGGTTCTTGGTTCAGTCCCTGGTTTGGGCCTGGGGTCTTTTTGTGGGGTTTGCATGTTTGTTCACCTCATGCTTAAGTAGATTTTCTCCAGGTACTCCAAGTACAGAGGGAGGAAACACCAGTCTGAAAACATGTTTAAGCTGCCTTCAGGTCCCGGTCTTGCTTGCAAAGGAAATATGTGAGCTTAATGGAATTTCCGTGGTTTATTAAAAGGTTAATAAACACAGCTTTTTTTCTCATATCACCACTTGCTCTTGCCGAGGTCGGATACTTTTCCCCTCCCCTCCCTCTCTGCTTTACTTTGCTGCTCTGTCTGTCTGTGAAACTGCTTCTGAGCCTCTCTTGCAAATCTTCCAAACCATAATTATGGACTTATTTTGATCATTTGGTCCCTCAATACAATTGATAACATTTCTTTGAAGAGGACAGGCTAGGTGAGCTGATTTGCCCTGTTGGCACGCACGCAGCTGGATATCTCATCGACTTGAAGATGTGTCTATCTTTGCTGCCATTTGTAGATTTTAAGGATGCATATTTAATTGGATTTACGATAACTGGTTGGTTTTATCTACAATCAAGAAAGTCATTGGCAGTAAATTGGGACCCAATCACTCTGCTTTCCTTTATGATGGCTTGGTTCGTTCCTCGAGTACCCAGACTCAAATGCTTTAGGCAGAATGGATCAGATGTCTGGGATTTTACTCAGTCACGTTCCATCGGTGTGGCCATGTAATTTGGACATTTCAGAACCGTTTGGACCAACACAGACTCCAGGTAGATGTCACTAAGTTCTGCCTGTCCCCAAAACAACTGTGTGTTTATCTGAATTTTGCTCCCTCAGCTGACCTTGAAGGCTATCTTATCTGAATTTGCCTGGAGAACATCTGATCTGACGCCCCCCCCCCCCCCCCCCCCCCCAAAGGAATTTCCAACTGATAACCAGATGAAACCATATGAATAAATATTGTGTCATCATTTCAGAACTCTTGGATTCCCATATGCGTTGTCCTTGGCCATTCCCTGACATCCCTCGAGAATGTTTACGGATCTCACCGGAGGAAAAGGGCTGATTATTCCATCCTTATCAAAACTCTTACAGTGTCCTCGAGAGTGTCCATGGACATTGCTCAACGCGCTCGTCGTCTCCCCCTCTGCTGAATGTCTACATCGCTATGTGCTTGTTTGTGCAAGGTGTTTTTTAATAGAGTTTTTCTTCTCAGCCAAGAAGAAAAAGTCTGATAGGAATTTTTCTGCCTCCAATTCCTACATGTGTCCAGTTTCACTACTTTTTGTCTGTCTAAACAGATCTCATTTGTAAATGAGTCTTCTAGGCTCAATGTGACTTATCTGTCTAAATAAAGGTTGCATTAATTAATTTTAACGTAGTTTCAAATTGAAATTGAAGCTCAAAATTCTTTAATTTTCCACGATACAATTTTTGTTGGTTCTTTGTTTGTTTTACTTTTGTCTTTTACTCACTGTTTGCTTAGGTTTAAACAACTGAACAATCTGGTTAAACTTAAGGGAGAACATGCGATATATGTATATATATATATATACTTCATGTTTATCACAGACTATTGGTTTGTGATGACGAGGAGAAAAAAAAAAGCACATCACATTTGCATAATAAACTTCAACCCCTTTCACAAAACTTTTTTATTATTATTTTTTTTTATTTTTATGATTTGGCTGCAAAGATCAGCCAGCTTCTAATTATCTTCAGAAACCACTAACCAGTCCAACCATGTGCCACAATACTGTGAAACAATACAAAGGAAAGTGGCATCATGGCACCAAAGGAGGGTGAGGTACAAGCCAGCTGTGTTGATGTGGAGCACTACATAAACAATGTGTGATACATTTCTCATTTCAGCAGTCTACAAGAACACCAATCATCATATCACCACTCAAGATGTGATGCTGACTCACCCTTACACTCATCTACTGTTTCAGCTCTGTGACTACCTCACTTGGCATCTCAAAGATGTAACAGCAGCATGTTGACTTCAACTCCTCAACCCTTACTCAAACCACACTGAGATAAAAACAGAGTATCGGTCCTATTTTTATAAGCATTTTGTGTAAAGAGTTTTTGAGATCTTACATATCTGTGACTGAGAAATGTTTAATTAATATGTTTTTTTGGAAACATCATTTGATGTTGCTACTCTTGTAACAATGTATTTTGGATAGACTTTCATTCTGAGTCTAAATCTGGCTGCTAGTAAGATTATTTAATATTTTATTTATGTATTATTTTCTTGGAGTGAGATATAAATAGATGAATGATACAGAAAAAGCATTGGTTTGAAGTTCTTATCTGGTATTTTGGTGAAATTTGAATATGCAAAAAAAGAACACTAAAGACAAATGTCAGGTTCTGCTGAATGTGTTTTTTATTTAATTTTGACAAATGTGTGCTAGTCTTTAAAACAGCTGGTTTTGTGTTTCTCCAGGTGGGATATGCAGGAAAATGCCGAGCTGGAGGATGAAGAGAAAACAATGGTTGAAGAACTGAAGAAAGCATTTTTTGTTTGCTGCTGCAACAAGGAAACTCAAGATCCTTCAGAAACTGATGAGACACCAGCAAAGCAGACCCAGGGGGAAACACAACCATCCGATAAAAGTACTACCCAATAACAGTCCACACTGTAGGAATTTTTATCATACAATTTTTATATACTCTTACAGAACTCTGAAGTTGTTGTACATGCATGTGTGTACACATGTTTGCACATTTATTGGTACAATTTGGCCTGAGCATGTACAGACCGTGTCAGATTTGCATGTGTGCGCATAAACAAAACCTAGAGGATAAGAAACAACAACACAAAGAAGGTGAACGCTGGTGTTTCCTCTTTTCTTCACACACCGGAGACAAACCCTCTGAGTATGGTAGTTCCATGCAGCATCAGATGCTGTTTTATCTTTTTGGAGCACATCTGCAGAAATCACTAGCAAGGAATGGAGAGCAGGGACTGGTTTGCCTGGGACAAGATGTGTGATCACTGTAGATGTTTCAATACGAGTGTAAAGACAGTGGTGTCAACATACTTTATTTTTGTTTGTTTCTAAAGGAAAATACAAACTACGATGGTTTGGAAGCACACTGATACCAATTTTGATTTGCATATGCCCCAAAAAGCTGACCCACATTGAAACCTCAGACAGCTTTTTTAAACACTGTGACAACATTTATTGGTAACATGATATTTATTCATATTGTATATGAAATAATAAGTATTATACATGTAATGTTTGGTGTTAAACATGAAAATAAAGTCATTGTCTTAATTCAGGACTTAATAATGTTCTTATATGTTCAGTATCCGTATGTGATTTTTGTGCAATCTGAACATTTTGATGGTCTGTGACTTTATGTTTATGAGTCATAGCAATGTATAATGTTTCCCTTGTTACGACTTTACTTGTGAGGATATCCTGTCTTATCAATAAAAATAAGATTTTAGTTCACATCATCTACTATGCGCTGTATTTTCTCTGAGAAAAGTGGAAGTAATCCCTGCTCCTGGAAGAGATGCCTTTTATCAATGTAGTCAACACAAATGTAACAAAATGACTCTCACCAAACATTTAGAGAGGTTAAAAACACACTGATTGGTGTTTTTGTCTCTAAAAACACGACTAACATCAACAAAACATTTGTTTTTGCCAACCATTCAGTTTTTTCTTATTTTTATTTTGTTTTTATGTGACAATAAAACTGTAGGTATCATGGTACAAAATGGCAAGTAAAACTGTTTATTTTTTCACAACTGGTTTCTGAGAAGAAACATAATCTCATTTTTCTCTATACTTTGTATAGTACCTACAGTGACTGTTTTCTAATTCATTTGTGTTTCTAGTGTATACAAATGATCGGCTCAGAAGACAACTGTCAGTAAAGCTGACAGCTGATTTACAAAATAGCTTATTTTATTATGCACATTTATTTTGGGATTATCAATGCTATGCAAAGCCCAGACCTCATGATAATAGGATGTGTGTATAAAGAATAAACAGTTGCGCTGTTTTCTCTTTCCACTTTCTGTGGTGCTGTCACAGTTTAATATTTTGCCACGTTGGCTGGTTGTATTTTGAAGTTCTTTTTTATGTTGGTCAAAACATGGAGCACATTTTGCACAAAGTCAAGACTTGTGACATTTTTAATGTACATATAACTTTCTTGACATGTTCTTTTTGTGAGTTTTGTGTTTGTGTTGCGTTAAACAATGAAAAAATCATCATATATTATGGCATCGACTTGTTGTTTTGAACCTTGATTTATCTATAAAACAGTCATCAGTTTCATGCAGCATCATATGTTTTGACTCTAAAACGATCAAACTGAAAATAAAATGTCTTACCGAATCTTGCTGTTTTAACTGTGGAGATGGATAACTTGTTCATCTTTCAGCTGTTTCCTTCTGCAGGCGTCACCAGCAAGCATGCTTGGATGAAAGATTGAACTATTGTTTTATGCCGGATGCCCTTCCTGACACAATGGGCTCAAACCTGGAGCCTCAGGATTACAAGACATAGCACTTACCGTGACACCACTAGGCCAAACAGTCTCTGTTAGTTGTAGGTTGTGTCAAGAGTTATTGACTGCACAGTTCATAAAAAAATATGACTGGAAATACATACAGTATGTGGCTAATTTCACAACAAAACATGCACAAAAAAGCTTAGTGGGTGTGAGTGAGGGGAATCTACAGCATAGGCTAACAGGAATCTGTTCAGATATGGCTGTTCCATGTCCATGTTCAAGCCTGTTGCAGCTTAGCATAAATAAACCTTTACAACACACACCACACACACATTATCCTTTACCTGCCTTTTCCTTTCTGGGTTGTAGGGTCACTAGTACCCATATCCAGTCAACACTGTGCAAGAACAGGTCACATGTCCATCACAGGACCAGGGACAGACAAGAAAATCAACCATACAATTCTGATGCATGCTCAACCAATAATCTCTCTCTATATAGAATTGACTTGAAAAGAATGTGGTCGACTTGAAATGACTGGATATAAATTTAGTAGAAGCGAATTCGGCTACAAGTTTTCAAAGTTAACAAAACTGCTAATCCGCTAAATGGAAATTAGGTCTGCAGAATCAACAAAATCGAGCTCACCACTGAAAGTTGTGTTGTTCCCATGGTCCAGCTGTAACAAAAAACATGTTAGTTTGCCTTAAAATATGTTTACAAGCTCTGTTAACCAGAAGGTGATTTTTGTTTTGCCCATTTTATGTGAGGGCAACTGTTTATTTATTTATTTATGTGTTGTCCAGAAAAAGTTGCATTTTAAAAGCAGTGGTCGGGACCTGTGAGTCATAAAATGTGTAACTGGGGATCAAGAGTTGATCTCCTGAAATTAAACAAAATTTTACAATACCAGTAATTTATTCTAGAATATATTTCTTGTAATTCTTACCAAAAAAAATATAAACAGCCATTCTAAATAAAAACAAAATGAGTTTAATCTAATTGTGTTGGTATTATTTTATTCTATCTATCTATCTATCTATCTATCTATCTATCTATCTATCTATCT